TCGGAGTTCCAAATTCGCTCTATTTTTCTTCAATTATCATCGGATTCTGCTTCGGCGCACAGTGGCCGTTGATTTTCGCAATCATATCGGAAATTTTCGGGCTGAAGTACTACGCAACTCTGTACAACTTGGGGGGAGTGGCGAGCCCGATTGGAGCGTATATACTGAACGTGAGAGTGGCCGGACATTTGTACGACAGAGAGGCAACGCGGCAGATGGAGGCGGCGGGGCGGCGGCGAAATATTGGGGAGGATTTGAATTGCTTGGGAGTGGAATGTTACAGAAAGGCGTTTCTTATAATCACGGCGGCTACTGTTTTAGGGGCGTTTGTTTCGTTGATCTTGGTGGTTCGGACATGGAAGTTTTATAAGGGCGATATTTACCAGAAGTTCAGGGAGGATTCAGGTGAGGAGGTGGAGGTGCAAATGGCGGCTCCGACGAACAGTGCGGTGGCGAAAAGTCAAACTGCTTAGGGACTTTTATCCACACTATGTATCATTGTTTAAACCTTACAAGTTAGTAGAGAAAATCTTACTGCTCATATCCATTTTCATCTTAAACGAAATAGGGATTAGTGTAAGGGTATTTTAGTCATTTAAACCACATACGAGAATAGTGTAAGGGTATTTTAGTCATTTAAACCAAACAGTGAGTAGTGTAAGGGTATTTTAGTCATTTAAACCAAACGGGTATTTTAGTTTTTTTTTTTTTTTAATGAAAATTTAGGAGAGATTCCAATTCAAACCCTTACAAAATATTTTTTTTTCTCTCATTAAATTTGGTTTTAAAAAAAATTAAATTATACCTTTAAATTATTTTGTCTCATTTTAAGAATACGTCGATAAAAACAACACGGGATTGAGATATAAAATACTCGAGAACTTTGGTTATCATGATTAAAATTGAAACACGAGAAAAGTAAATGAAACAATTTAGGTGTGAAGTCAAATTTATGGATATGGTTGGTTGAAAATAACAAGACATGATGCATATTATAAATTGACGATTTAGATAACTTTTTGGACAATTTTTGTGCAATAGAATGAAAAAAAAAAACATTAGGGAAATTAAAAAAAAGGTGGCTTTGGAATTAAACTTCTCTTCCCCACAAGAAAAGGACCCGTTAATCAAGTAGCCCCAATAATGGAGGATGTAAGGCACGAGAACCCTCTTCATTGATCGGTGCTTGGTTAATAATTAAATAGTCACGAGACTTTGATTCATTTAGTAGATATATGCATTAGATTATTCATGCATCACTGTAATGATAGTACATGCATTGAGTAGATTCAATACTTAATATTTGATACATGTATGACTCTGAAGGATGTTCTAAAAAGTCAGCACAAGGACCATATGTGTACATTGGTGGCCTGTTCTCAGAGATCATAGACAATAAAATTGAAGTCTACTTCATAGGATGATTTGAATCTCTTATTTCAACGAACGTGGTGGCTAATTATTTAAGCACATAACGTGTAATTACTACAAAATCATTTTTCATCACTACAACTATATTATCATTAGATGGGTCCCGTTATAGTTTTCAATCATGCTTTATCATACATCATAATCATATAAACTACGGAGTTTGTAAGTGCATGCATCCAAAATTTTAAAAAACTTAATGTAACCTTAGAGATTTAATTAAGACAAGAAAAAGTGACTTGTGACTAAATCAAAATTTGTGAACTGGTTCAACTGAATTGGTGGAGGCCGAGCCCAAACATGAACCACTTGTCTCACACGAATTTGTTCGTCCCTTTGGAAAACTAGCAAACCTCGACTGCACCCTTCCTAGTAGTGGTGCAGGAGGGTCATCGATCGAAAGAGGTGACGTTTCTACAATTTGAAGAGTATTACATTATTATCGCCGACATGGCATTTAAAAATAAATAAAAAAAGAAGAAAAAGCTGAAAACAAAATGAGCAATTTGCAAATTGCCCCTTTATTTTCCTGGTATTTAATTTTCATCCACCTAGGGGTTTGGTGATGAATTTTGGCGGCGACCTTTGCGTCCATGGATATACCTATCCATCACATGGGGGGTTTAAGGCTCACAAACGCGGCTGATACTTTCTAATAATCCTTTGCCTCCCTCTTCGTCTTCTCTGCACTCCATCCATTTCTTCTCGATTATCCGCGTCTTTTCTCTTTCACCCATCTCACCCCCATCCAGATTTTTGAGTTCTAGAAGAATCCCACCAGCTCCGGCGAGGAAATATGTCTAAGAAAGGGGCCGCCGGTAGAACACCGGTTTTAAAGGACGCCCCATGGAGGGCTGCTGCCAAACCCACTCCGAAAATCCACCATGCTCCTGTGCTCCGCATTGCCCAATCCCCCTTTTCCAATTACGCCATCTCTGTAATGAAGGCGAGCTCTCTCATTATCTTTGTTCTTCTGTTGTTTTTTTTTTTTAATCTCTCTTTCTGGGTTTTGTTTGATTCTTTTGTTGGTTTTGGGGAAAATCTTTCTCTCTTTTTGCAGCATCCTGATCCGATTGGAAGTGGGTTGGCTATGGATGCTATCTTAGAATCGGCTGGGCCGGATTGTATTGTGCCTGGACAGACTGCACCTGTCAAACTACTTGGTCTCAAGGTATCCTTGTTTGATTTGTTTGGATTACTAGGATTTTGATTTCTAGAGGATTTCTTGGTTTTTCATACTCGAATTTTGTGTTTGAATTTGACTGAATTGATTATGTTAACTCCTTTAGTGGCAACCTGATGGTGTTTATGACTTTTGAGGCTATTGAAACGCCTTTTCTTTTAGCTGTTTGGAAGAATTACCAATTAAATGTTCCTTCCCAACATGTTTTTCAGTGGTTTCGAAATTTAGAAAAGCTTTTTTGATGTGTAACGAAAGGAAGAAAAAAAATTATGCTTAACACACTCAGAATCTTCTATCCTGATATAACAAGTTATCCACTGCGAAGCATGTTATCTCAGAATCTTAGCAATGACTCTTACCTGTCTTTTCTCTGTCACATGATCATGGCTCCATTATTTACCAGATTTAACTTTATAGCCAAGCTGAGTTTTGTTAATGGTTGGTTAGTGTTCGAATGTTAGAAGGTGGGAGGAGATGGAGGGGTTGAGGAGGCCATGTTTGTAGTGTGGTGGAATGGGCATTGTTATGAATACAATGCTTTGTTTTCTCAGTGAAAATGTAAACGACAAGTCTGAGTCGAGAAAACTCCGAAGAATCTCAGTTATTGATTGGTAATCCCTAGCTGTCCCTGAGATGAGAGAGATGAAGAATATTATAGGCCTCCCAACTCCACATTTACAATAGTGTAACAGTCTAAGTCCACCACTAGCAGATATTGTCTTTTTTGGCCCGTTACATATTTGTTAGCTTCATGGTTTTTAAAACGCCTCCGCTAGGGAGAGGTTTCCATCCTTTAAGGAATGTTTTGTTCTCCTCTCCAACCGTTGTGGGATCTCACAATCCACTCCTGTTGGGAGTCCAGCATCCTCACTGGCACACCGCTCGGTTACTGGCTCTAATACCATTTGTAATAGCCTAAGCCCACCGCTAGCAGATATTGTTCGTTTTGGTCCATTATGTATCGTCGTTAGCCTCACGGTTTTTAAAACGTGTCTGTTAGGGAGAAGTTTCCACACCCTTATAAGGAATGCTTCGTTCCCCACTCCAACCGATGTGAGATCTCACAAATAGGTGACAGGTAGGCAGTGTCAAGGGATGGGTAGTTGTTGTAGTTAAGGAGTTTCTATAGTGTAATCTCTAATTAGTAGTAACTTTAATTATAGGGTGGATGCCATTAGCATTGCCTTTATCACTGCTAAACTAAATCGTGACTTTGAGTTTATAAGAACTGCTTTTGCTGTGTATTTTGGTCTTATTATGCCACATGTGGACAGGTATGGCCCATTGATGTCGATCTTAAGTTTCTCGAGCCCGTTGGTAGAGAGCTTAAATTACTTGGAAAGGTAATTCACATAACTCTGCATATCTGTGTTTCATAAAGGTTGTTGGAAGTATACAGATTGATTTTACTTTCGAAAAAACATTATCGTCACTAGCCCGAACGTGGAGCTGGCCTTGGGTAGGAAAAACATACTCAAGAATTAGTGATACCATAAGAATGAGCCATGACCAATATGTAACGGCTCAAGCCCACTGTTAGCATATATTGTCTTCTTTGAGTTTTCTCTCTTGGGCTTCCCTTCAAAGTTTTTAAAACACGTCTGCCAAAGAGAGGTTTTCACACTCTTAAAAAGAATGCTTTGTTCCCCTTTGCAACTAAATGTGGAGCTGGCTTTGGGTAGACAAAACCTCCTCAAGAATTAGTGATATCACAAGAGTGAGCCATGACCCATAGATAACAGCCCAAGCCTACCACCGCTAGCAGATATTGTCCTCTTTGGGCTTTATCTCTCAGACTTTCCCTCAAGGTTTTCAAAACGCGCCTGCTAGAGAAAGGTTTCCACACCCTTATAAAGAACGCTTTGTTCCCCTATTCAACCGATGTGGGATCTCACAATCCATCCCCCTTGGGGCTTAGCGTCCTTGCTGGCACTTGCTCTCTTCTCCAATCAATGTGGGACTCTGTGAGATCCCACACCGGTTGGGGAGAAGATCGAAGCACGTGGAAACCTCTCTCTAATAGATGCATTTTAAAAACCTTGAGGGGAAATTCAAAAATGGAAAAACATATTCTTGGAGTGTAAAATTATGAACGCAGAAGATTTTTTAGGCTCAAGACGTTAAGGAATCTGAGCTGCAGTTTTGCGCTCATTGTTGCTCCTAAATTCATATTTGGTTTTCCTTTGGTGTGCAGTTTATGGATGATGCGGTGAACCTGATGAACAAGTCATTTATAGATCGGTAGGCGTAGCAGTTGTAATGTAATGGATAAAGAGTTGCATGAAGCTGCTGCAATTTGAGCTAGCTCCGTGAGTGGCTACTTATCCAACTCAACTGCCTCCAAATAATCTCCTTCCCCATCTTTCTGAATTCTCTCATGTAAAAACAGCCTCTGCCCTCCATAAACCGTTTTGTTACTCTCCTTTCTGAAACACAGAGCCAAACCATGTTGATGATAAAGGGATAATTGCAAATAAGGTTGTAGTTTGACGATCTTCAAACTTAGTAACATAGTTTCTATACTTACCCGAGTAGCATTAACTAGGGTCCATCCTAGAAAAATCATTGTCATAATGCATCATGACATTTGACACATGCACATCATCTTAATATGGAATAACGTCATATAAAGTTATCTTATCATCATATATCTTTCATCGTTGTATTATCATACATTATCATCATCATCATATAACGTCATCATGTAACATTATCGTATCACTTCATAAAACATAATCATGTCTTCATATATCATATAAAACATAAATGACACGTGCAGGGGTTACTGGGCACGTGTCGTCATACATAAGACAATTCTTCCAATTGAGTCGATATTAAGATGGTTAGATTCGGTTTGGTTCCATCTTTCAATATTCATCTCTTGCTTACTTAATACATCAATATCTGAATTGTGGATATTCTAAACAATCTCAAGATAATGCAAAAAGTGATGATGAAACTGCGTTCTTACTTGAATGCCCAAATTGGGTATGGTATCAGAACAGGTTCACACGATCCAAATGGTGAATGGTGGGGTAGGTCTTGGAATTGGAGTCTTATCAATTGATCCACCTTGGATTTTCTGGTCACCTTCCCTTTTCATTCCAGAGCAAATGTTCTTCCCTGTACTTTTTCCACTACTTTTCCTCTATAAATTCAACTTAAGAGCTTTGAGTTATGATCAGAAATGGCTACTCATTCAGCCCTTCACACTGAGATACAGCGTAGAGGACCTTGGCTCGAACATGAAGATAGGCAGCTCACCATGTTTGTAAATCGCATGGGAGAGAGAAAATGGGACTCGATCGCAAAAGCTTCCGGTATGACTTGAACATAATACTATGATATTGTTGACTTTATAAAGTTTCATGTCAAGACTTGTTTATATGTTCATATTCAAACATTGCAGGACTTGAAAGAAGTGGGAAGAGCTGTAGATTCAGATGGCTCAACTATCTCCGCCCCAATCTTAAATGTGATCGCATAAGCATCGAGGAAGAAGAAATCATTCTGAAACTTCATAAGAAATGGGGTAACAAGTATGAACTAAAATAACATCTGGGTGCTGGAAATTTTGGAACTTTATTGATCTATCAGCATCATTATCCAAATATATGTTCTTATAGATGGTCGAGAATTGCACGATGGCTTCCAGGAAGAACTGATAACGAGATCAAGAACTACTGGAGAAGCCACTTGAGAAAAAAGTTCCCCATTCACCTAGAAGGTTCATGGAAAAATCTGCGTTGGTTCTTGATATCTATATCAACCACATTCAGTTGCTTTAATTAGTTTCTTTTACAGCCTGCAAAGTAAAACATGGGAAACAGGACAAGCTCTCATTGAGGCATGACCAAAATGAAAGGGACGTTCCCTCCTACAATCATTTCGGGTTGTCGAACCTCGAGATCACAAGTTCGCCATACGAAATTCGATTATCAAACTGGATATCAAATCAGTTGATGAACGAGAAGCAGGAAGTGAATCATCATGAAGTGTGCAACAGTTTAGAATTCTGTTTCTACTATCCAAATATGAATTATGCACACAGAGTTGATCAAATCGACCATTTTTGGGATTCATTCACTCCTCTTTGGGATATTGAATAGCAAATCAAACGTTGTCTCCTCCTAATATAATCAACCCGTAAATATTTAAAGTGCCATTGAAAATAAAATATTCTAAGTTGGAAACTTCAACAATCGACAAACGATAGGACGTAATCATAAAGTAGAAAAGATAATATATCTCGTAACTCAAATGTATCAAATGTAGCAAGTTGTATGAATATATATATATATATATAAATAAAGAGATTGAAGGATAATGTTTTTGTGGGAAAAGGGGAAAGGATTATTAATATTAAAAGAATTAAATAAATGAATATTTTATATATGGATGAAGGATTAGGCAAGTTTGACCTAATTCCTACCAATCAAAATTAAGTAAATAATAAATTGATCTCTAGTTACTTTATTTAAAAAATTAATAATAATTTTTGCATACCAATAATAATATAAAATTATAAGTCGTATTATTTCAATTTTTTTTAAAATAAAAAATTATTATATTTAAAAAAAAATGAAAATCTATCCCGAATTTTAAAGAGAAAACTTAAAGAGAACAATATTTGCTAGCAGATAGGCTTGGGTTTATGATTGTTACATTTATAATTTAACAAAATAAGAACGAAAACTCGAACTCTTAAAAGAAATATCGATATCAGTTTTTTCAACAATAAATATATGTATATATATTGGTCTTAAGCATAGCTAGGTATGCATGATAATGCAATGTAAAGCAATCTATCACGATGATCTTAAGTTCTTAACGTACAATTTAGGACATAGAAATTTGAAAGTTGTTAACATTATGAAACTTAGTCATTTTCACAATTTTAATTAATTAATTAACTAATTGATTAAGATAATATTAGAGTTTTAGCCAGGTTGGATTAATATTAGACTAATCAAACCAACAATAATACATCATTTACATATTTTAATCAAGACCTACTCACAAGTCACACCTACTTAGTGCTAGACTTTGCTGGTATTTTTTTAAAAAAAATTAATTATTAAATGACTCGAACTAGGTATATTTTTGACATAATTTTTAAAATAGTTATTTTTAAAATACGGAAGGACTAAATTAAAATGTTACGAATGTATAGGGGTCAAAATGAAATAAAATTCAAAGTTTTAGGTCCGTGATTTTATTTATTTAGTTGGATGAGGGGGAATGACAACTGGAAGTTTGACCCGTGTTAAACGTTTTTACATATAAAAAAGTCAAAAAAAAAAAAAAACAATAAAAAGGGTAATAGAAAGTAGAAACAAAGTTATGAAAAGCCCAAAAAAGATCTTAGAAATTGTTTAAATTAATTAATGAAATTTGAGAATAATTATTTAATTTAAAAAATAATAATAATGAAGAAGAAGAGGTAATCCACAACTGAGCAATCAATACCCAAATCATTATCAAATTGATACTCCAAGATATGGACAGTCCCAAAATGAAAATGAAATTCATAGCTTTGAATTTTAATAATGCAATATTTTGTCCAAATTCACACCTCCCCTAGACCCAATATTATATCATTTCTTCAATGCTCAATTTTGCTTTTGGAAGTATTTGTAGTGAACACAAACAATAAGGTGGTGGACAAGTAGTAGTACACACCAAAGTCAATAAAAAATAAACGAGGTTCAAAATCGGTTGAAGAGAAAAAAATTCTCTCTAATAGACGCTACGTAACGAGTCAAAACGGACCATATTTACAAGTTATGTAATTAGAATTTTGTTCCATAACGATTTTGAAAGTTAGATGGGAGAAAATATTAATGAAGTGTTGGAAATGGAATGGGATGATGCTTTGCTTAGTGATGCTGATGCGCCACACCCTTACGTGCCATGGGCAGCAGGCCACCGCAAGGCCCTCACGCCAAGTATAATCCTCTTATTTCTCTCTACTCTTTCCCTTTCTCCCAGTTTTGTTCTAAAAAAAGATTGAAACTTTCGCATCTTTTTTAAAAAATAACCACAACCCATTTCTTGATGTAGTGTATAATTGGTGAATTTAGTGTCTTTTTAAAGAATTATGATCTGGAGTTGACGGAAAAAAAGGAGAGAAATTAAATTAAAAATCACCCAACCCACGTTGCTCTACATTACAATTGTCCAATCATTGGGTGGACCATGTAAACATGGGGTGGTGTCATATGGCATACTTAATAACTCTCCCTTTCCCTTTCAATTAGATTTTTTTTTTATATGGCTCACTCTAGCTCATAATCTAGATACGTTTTTATAGAAAGAGGTTTCCATACTCTTTTAAAGAAATCTAACTTAACAATATAGGTTACTGGTAGGCTTGACATGTTATAAACTAAGTTTAGTTGATATGATTAAGACATATGGGTTCGATTGAGAAATGGTTAAAAACGTGTTTGATTACCTAAATTCTATAGTTAGAATGGGTTGGTTAGAATGAGAAGATGGAAGGGTTGAAAAAGAGTTACTCCCAATCACATAAAATGAGATGATATTAATGAGGGGATTAAGGGAATAGCGCAAATTCTGTGGTTCCAGGCTTGCAAACTAATCCTACAGAAAGGAGTCGTGGGGCAAAAGTAATGGGCGGAGGGGTTTGCTTCAAAGCCAACCGAATCTCACTCCTTTCCTAGCCTCCTCTCACTTACATTGCATCTTCTTCTTCTTCTGCTCTGTTCTATATATATAACTTCCTGTCTCGTCCTTTTCCATATCAGACCTCTTTCTTTGCATCAATGGCGGAAACCCCAGATGAAAATCAAGCCCAATTCATCAAGGGAAAGCGAACCAAACGCACCAGGCCTCCCTCTGTTGCTTCATCTTCCAGCGCTGATTGTTCCAGTTCGTCGGCGGGGCTTACAGAGCAAGAAGAAGAAGATCAAGATTTGGCCAATTGTTTGATTCTTTTGGCGCAGGGGAGAACAGGGGATTGCGCCTCTGTTTTGGTTCAACACAATCAATCTCTGTTCGCTTATCAGTGCAAGACTTGCGATCGTTGTTTTCCTTCTTTTCAAGCCTTGGGTGGACATAGAGCTAGCCATAAGAAACCCAAAATCTCTAATTCTCTTCAAACCCACGACCCTCAATTTCACCTCTCCTTGCAGTTATCCACCGGCCGACCACCGGCGAGTTTCGCCGCCGGTGACGTCGTTAAGTCTAAGGTTCATGAGTGTTCCATTTGTGGAGCGGAGTTTTCTTCTGGGCAGGCACTTGGTGGTCATATGAGAAGACATAGAGCGTTGACCTCTACGGCGTCGGTGGCGAGTAGAGGTGCTACTGCTACGCCGCAGTTGCAGGAGTTGATGATTAAGAAAGAGAGGAATGTGTTGGAGTTGGACCTTAATCTTCCGGCGCCAGAGGATGACCGGCACCGGACGGCGGTGGCTGTGTTCTCCGCCGCATCGTCACTGGTGGATTGTCATTACTGATTGATTTTTTTTTTTTTTTTTTTTGGGTCTTGTTGCAAAGGTCGCATCATATGCACCAAATTGAACCCCCCATCAATTGGGATTTAATTAATTCCCCTGTGGGGTTTGAATTTGATTATTCATCAAAACCATTCCATTTAATGTCTCATTAATTTGGGTAACTTCATATCACTTCAAATTCTACTCAAAATGACCAACAATATGTTCTACTTTCTTCTGTAATACTCAAATTGACACTCTGTAACTTTAGGTTCTAATTTGTGGGCAAGGAAAAGAAAAAGGTGGGTTCGTGCGTTGGACCATTTTGGTTAACTATCTTCTATAAAAAAAAAAAACGTGTGAGAGACCAAATTATAAGTTCAGCGCGAGAGAGGATGGATTGAGTATTGAAAGGTAAGAAGGAAAAGGTAGTGGGAGTGGACTAACTGCCCTTTTTTATGGATCTAACTTTAATACCCAACACACAACAAATCCAATGCCCATCAATTTTAACATTCTTTTTTTCCGACCCTGTCTGTGCTTTGTATGCACCAGACTTCAGCCTCCGGTGAACGAGGAGGACAATTTTGTGACCTTTAGGCCCAACTTCGAAGTCAAAAGTTCAGAGAAACTATAAATGGCGGTTACGAGGACGATAATGCTCTCTTTCAAGAGGACGGTGTCATCGAGTTCGATTCCGTTACTCCCACTCACCTCCGCGACCTTGCTAATGCCGTCCAGCTCGGCGAATTTAATGGCCTACGAACCTCTCTAGGTTCAACTTCTTCTTTTCCACTTGCTAGAGTTTTCTGTTCATCTTTCTGGATTGTTCACTATCTTGATTAGGTCGAAATGATCTTTTTCAGAAAATTTGATGCGTCCTCGTCCTGAAAGGAAATGTTTCGATTCAATTTGTAGTGTGCTTCTCGTTATATGTATTTTCGCCGTTCTAATACTATACTCTGCAAAGTCGGTAGTCTCGTTATCAGTTGATTCTGGAGGTGACACTGTAAGTAGCTGGTTATCTTCGATGTCTAAGTTTTATCTTTTTGGATAAGAAATCTAAGCGTTGTCAAATGCTTGTCGATAGATTGTGGGAAGCCAATCAACCAAATACTTGCTAGTTGCAACAACTAGGTTATTATTCCTCCTTGTTGATGCTCAGAGAGTCATTGTTCTTGAAAATGTACATTGGCTTCTTCAACAGTCGGAATAATTGACTTCAAAAGTGTACGAATGTTGTTTTAGCATTGTATCTTTAATTCAATGAGGTTGCTATACGTGTAACCATTTGTTTTACAGTCATGGTGCAGGAGTAGCAATTCCTATGATGTAACAGCCTAAGTTCATCGCGATAGAGGTTTCCACACTCTTATAAGTAATGTTTCGTTCCTCTTTCCCTTCTTGAGAGCGCAACGTCTAGCTGACACACCGCATTTTAAGTAAATTCGAAAGGAAAAATCTAAAGAGAATAATATCTGCTAGTAGTGGGCTTAGACGGTTATAAATGGTATCAAAGCCAGACACTGGGCGGTGTGCCAACACTGTGTTTTAAAAACCTTAAGGGGAATCCCGAAAGGAAAAATCCAAAGAAGACAATATCTGCTAGTGGTGGGCTTAGGTTGTTATAAATGGTATTTGGGGCAAACATCGGGCGGTGTGCAGGACGCTAAGCTTCCAAAGGGGCTCACAATCCACCCCCTTGGAGATGGGAACAAAACATTTCTTATAAGGGTATGAAAACTTCTACGTAATAGACGTGTTTTAAAACCGTGAGGCTGACTGCGATACGTAACGGGCCAAAACGGACAATATCTACTAGCGGTGGATTTGGGCGGTTACATATAGTCTCATTCCTCTTGAATGGATCTTTTCAACATTACTTACTTGTAAGGCTTCTTGGCCATGCTGCAAGAGGTGAGCATGCCGCAGTTATAAGGTAGCTGCTGGCTTCAGGGGCATCTCCCACCAAGGAAAATACATACGGGACGGTTTGTATTTTCTGTAGATAAGGGAGATCTGTTTGAAATGAGTTTTCAAATACTTAAAAAAAGTCTTTGGTATTACTCATTTTGTAAGTTAAGCTTCGGTTTAACAGGCCCCAACTGAACTAGCCGATTCAGGGACGGAGGCCAGAACGAGTTTGGAAGCTGCCTCAGCTCACATGGCGGTGGGTCATACATGTTTATTCTACAACAGAGCTGCAAAATATAATTGAAAATTTGAAAAATTGATATTCATTGATTAATGTAGAAGATTAAATTATGTGATTGATTGACTTCAAGCTCAACATTGATTCACTTAATACCCATTGTTGGTTGATTTATGAAGCTTGTTGATCAACCTTTAATTTCTTCGTTCGACCAAAAACATGAAATGATTCTCCTAAAAGAAAATAATGTGCTTCCATAATCACCACTAGATAATTGCTGGTTGGTAGTGAAACTGAAAAAGAGGACAGTATATGGCTAACCATCAGGCATCCACTTCTTTATGAAGCAAAATTGTGGATGGGGGAGGAGTTTCCTGTCATTGCCCTTCCAACAAAAAGGGTCCAAGCACTTGCAGTTTCAATTTGGTGGATTTGTTGCTTGTCTATTTTGGTAATTTCATCCCCATTTGCCTCTCTGTCTTTGTATTTCAATCACTTTCACCAACACTATTTATGCTGGGAACCCATTTCAACATAATGCAAAAAGACAGAAAATCATTGTGAAGGAAGCTCTCTTTCAAAATTATTAAGAACAAAAAACAAAGCCTGAATCAAAGTGGGTTCTTGTTATCTTTTTCAAATCTGTGATGAGTTGTTCCAGAACTGCAAATTCCCAGTTTGAAAACCATGAAATTTAAGCAGTTGTTCGAAGAGAGCAGTCGTGTTTGATCCCATATGATACAAGCCGAGTTTGGTTAGTATAGATAGGTAGAATACAATGCCATAACAATCCAAAAGATGGGAAGAAAAACTGGAAGGAACAAAGGAGGTTACTATATTTGATTTTTTTTTTTTTTTTTTTTCTTGTTTCTTTCTTCAGCTCTTAATTACAGTCATTTAGGCAAACAAACAACTCGATGACAAGGAGGAGCAGTAGGAGACATGTACAGGAACTGTCGATATGGAGAATCGTGCTATATCGACGTTTCGTACTGGAGTTTTTAGAGGCAGCAACTTGCAGTTGGTGCAGGCTGTAATTCTTGCTGCTTCAGAATGTTTCTTTTTACAACAGTGGATCCTTCTTCAATCAGACTAGGAGCCTCCATTATCTGCAACACAAGAGACGATGTTTTTAAGAACGAACGACCGGACGAGGCGTTTGGTTTCTCGAGGTCTACTACTTGACATTGGTCTGGTAGAAATATACCTTCAATGCCAACTCTTCAAAGCATTTCTCCACATTCTCTCTGGTTTTAGCACTGCATTCAAGAAAAAAGGATCCAAGCTCCTTTGCTAGAGCAATCCCCTCCTCCCTGCTCACAGCCCTTTCAGATTCCTATGAACACACACATCAAGTTCTATCATAAATCTTAGAAGCTTTCCCTAAATGATCATCGAAGGGCATTAGCCAACAAATCTTAGGAGAACGATGGTGTAAACACTTAATTTGGGACTGTTTTTTTAGAACGCCAGAGGAAGGAAGAAAGAAACTTACTCTGTCAACCTTATTACCAATAAGCATCTTGACACACTCCTTATTTGTTGAGTAGAGTTCCACTTCTTTAGCCCATACGTCCGACAAGTTATCGAACGTTTCTCTCCGTGTTACATCGTACACTACAACAAGATCATAAACACAACACTGTAAACCAGACAGATTGACAGAAGAATCAAACAAAATGTTGATGAACAAAACCAATTGCAACTGCTGTTATAGGTTTGTAGCACATTCTATTTCCAATCAAACTTATTTCCCCCCACTGATTGTCCTCCGTTTCGACTCGAGTTAAGTGAACATGAAACACCGAACACCCAGATAAATCTTAGCTCAAAAGACAAAGAGATCAAAGTTTGAAGCATACCAAGAATGATCCCTTGTGCACCTCTATAGTAGGAACTTGTCAATGTTCTGAATCTCTCTTGTCCAGCTGCAAGAAACCAAGGCTTAGACAAGATCAAAAGCAATCCATACAAAGGGAGAAGCAAAGGAATTGATATTAGAAACAGTAAAACTATTGAGATTCCAGGCTTTGTGCAAGCCTTCTTCTACCCACATCTTTTGAAAAGGGAATAAACAGAAACAGTTCTTAGTTCATAAAAGTTTAGAATCAAAATGAAGTGAAATCCCTAGAATTTGAACCACAAAAAGGACAGATACCAGTGTCCCAGATGGTCAGCTTCAACCTCTTCCCACCCACCTGAAGCAGCTTGATCTTAAAATCCACACCTAAAAAGAAACAAACAGTCTTTAAGACAAAACAGATCCAAACACAGAAACCAAAAACACAACAAAGAATAAGAACATGAGAAGGGCATCTCCAATTCATCCCTTTTCCTTCAAATTCCCCACACCCAAACAGATTATGAGCAGAGAAGCATTTCCTCAAACAGGTTATGAGCAGAAAGTTTAAGCAAAAGAAAAAGTGGGGTTTAGTTGGTGTGGCAAAACAAAAAACATACCAATAGTAGGGGCAAGATTTTCAGCATTAGTAGAGATAAAGCTGAGAAGAAGACTACTCTTGCCGACACCTGAATCGCCGATCAACAAAACCTTAAAGGACAGATCGTAGTTGCTACTCTGGCCGGAAGAAGATCCCATTTGGATGATCTTCTTCTTTCAGGAATGAAACAGAATTCAGAGAGAGTAGAAAAAGGGAAAAGAATTGGAATTATGTTTTATTGTTGCAAGAAAAGAGAAGAATAAGTTCCAAGAAAACGGGGAAGTGAGCGAGCACCAGCTGAGACAACAACGTATTTGTTCTTTGCCCTTTCCCTTTTTATTCACCTTTCTTAAGATGTTATGTTTTTGGAGAAATCCATGGTTTTGTCCCAACGCCACTGCCTGGGATTGCTGCTCCAGCAAACTAGTTTCTTCTAAACAAAGCTTTTCCTTCGAATAAAGTTTAATTATGCCCTTTTCTTTTCTTTTTTTTTTTTAATATCCGTTAAATTATAAATTTTAGTCCCCTAAATATTCCATATAAATAAATTTATAATTTTTATATTTTTATATTCCAAAACGTTTTTGAATTTGGAAATAAAGTTGCAACTGTTCGTGTGGAATCATTGTCGACAATTACTTTTTTTTTAATTTTGTTTTCTTTTTCCCTCTTCTTGGGATTAAAAGGAAAAGAAAAAATTAAAAAAAAAAAAAAAAGTTTCACCCAAGTTTTGGAATTGATGGCTCAACATTTATGTAACTGTCCAATCCATCCCTCTTGAGGGCAAGTGTCCTCTTCGACTCTGATACTATTTATAACTGTCCAAGTTCATCGCTAACAAATATGGTATGTTTTGGCCCGTTACATAGTGTCATCAGCCTCATGACTTTAAAACGTGTTTGTTTAGGGAGAAGTTTCCACACTCTTATAAGGAAAGGACTCATTCTCCTCTCCTCCAACGAACATGAGATCTCACAATTTGCCTACATTCTCCTCTAAAGTAGCTACGTTATCTATTTGTCGCTTCTAATCTTAGATATTAAATGAACTAAAATTTATGTAATAAACATGTCACGTCATCATTTAATTTACGTTATGAATGTGTTGTCGAACGAAAATGAAACGATAGATGTTTAGCATGATGGGTGAGGGTGGACCATTTTAGACAGCTAAAAGCAAAGCAAAGCCAACTTTGATCTATTAATTTATTGAGGTGTAGTGGGAATCAGTCATGATTAAGGAAGATCATTATGAATACTCTTACCCTTTTTTTTTTTGCATCATAACGTTGTTTATTATAATCGGTCACTAAAATCATGTTTATACGGGTTAAGGCTAAAATGTCCTAAAATGTATTATAGACAGATATGACTAGTTGTCAATTGTTCATACTCGAATTATATGCTATCAAAACAGTAGTTGTTGCTTTTTCACTTTTAGCCTATAACATTATTTTCATTAAAATTATTTTTAACGTATTTTCTGCCTCACGTTTTCTAAAATATTTTTCTCAGACGTGATTTGAGGCTCAAACATATGCTAATATCGTTTACGAAGTTCAAATATACACCGTCGACTTGTTGGTAGGAGTAGAATAAGTGTCGCATAATCGATGTCTCATTGTCTAAAAAAATGTGACTTATATAGTTCCGAAGGGCAGATATTAAGGAAAAATGAATTAATTATGTACTAAAAAGAAATAAAGAAAAAAAGTTAATTAAATTAAAAATACATGATTACGTGTGTTTAAATCTTAAAACGTGAACCACAAGACAGGTCCACATGAAAATTATTACTGGAGTTCGACAAGGACAGATTATGGCCACGTGGCCTATAAAATACTCTAAAATGTAAATACTTTATTTATTTATTTTTCTAAACTTTAATATATTATTTTATAAGTTCCTAATTTTTTAATAATATTTCATTATTCTTAATTTATTGGTAATTTATTTAGATTTCATAAATTTATTAAATACAAAGGAATCAACTAAAATAAAATAATAAAAAAAAAGTTGATTTATTATTATTATTATTTAATTTTTTTAATCGAAAGAGGTTGCGAAGTGGTGGGCCGTTGAATATTGGAGGTGTAATGTGGAAATGATTATGGGCCTTAGCCCATGAGTGGTCATTCAGACTTCAGGCCCTACAAAGTTTTCATTTCGTCGATATGATAAACAGGAGGGCTTCTTAGGTCGCCGGAGAAAGGAGAGGGCTTTTTCTCAGTCGGAAATCGAAATTCAGTAAAGAAGCGACGCCGGAGTTTGACGGCGATGGATAGAGAGTGGGGGTCCAAGCCGGGAAGTGGAGGAGCGGCCTCTGCACAGAATGAAGCTATCGATCGGAGAGAGCGTCTTCGACGGCTTGCTCTCGAGACCATCGATCTCGCCAAGGATCCCTACTTTATGCGCAATCATCTTGGAAGGTCCTCCTTCTCTATTTCTCCTCCTAATTTTATCCGTTCTTTTGGAAAATTTTGAGTTGAATTGTATTTCTTTCGGTGTGTTTTTGTAGTTACGAGTGTAAGCTTTGCTTGACTCTGCACAATAATGAGGGAAATTACTTGGCGCACACACAGGGGAAGCGCCATCAGACTAATTTGGCGAAGAGAGCAGCCCGTGAAGCCAAGGAGGCTCCTGCTCAACCTCAACCCCACAAGCGGAAGGTCTCTGTTCGCAAAACAGGTAAGCATTATGCTCCCCCTTTTAAAAAAAATTCCACATTAATTTTGGATATGAGGGTGAACCATAATGTTATTCTTGCTTGTTTGTAATCTTTGTGAAGGGTTGTTGCCAAGCTAATTTTAAATTGCTTTCAGTAGTGACTTTTGTATTTTCCACCCCTTGCAATTGGATTGATAATGTGCTTGATTTCGCCATTTATTGCAATTAGAACTATAATGCCATAATGGTTCTGTTTGTTCATTTATAACTGAAGTGTGATAGCTTGAAAGGGCATTAGGAATAGCGAGTAGATTTCTGTTTATGTCAAGTAACATAAACATGTATCCAACCGACACCAAGTCAAATAAGAGTCCATGATTTGAAATGTTCATTGTTTCAAAGTGGTTTTGAAATTTTGAAGTTTTGGTTGTTGTCTTAGTTGGATGTATTCATATTTTTTTGGTACTTAAAATGAAGTTTGTGTTAATTATCTCCTTTTCTGGCTTGCTTTCAGTTAAAATTGGGAGGCCTGGTTATCGTGTAACAAAGCAATTTGATTCTGAGACAAAGCAGAGATCTCTGCTTTTCCAGGTATGGCTTTGTAGTTCATACAAAACACCTTTGTGTATCTGTTGAAGATGATATTATTTTGCATTACTCCATTGTATTGTGTCTGTCTTGCCCTGCCCTTCCGTTTACTTGTATACTGTTGCATCATGCAGATTGAATACCCAGAAATTGAAGACCTAGCAAAGCCAAGACATCGGTTTATGTCCTCTTATGAGCAGGTTCTTTGTATAATTGAATAGTACCTAAGTTCCATCATTCATATGCTTTTGAAAACATGATATTTCCTTTTACCACTTCTATCGCTATTGGAATATCTTTTTAGAGCTAATTTTTCTGTCTTTCTTGTTATTATGTTCAGCGGGTGCAACCGTTCGATAAAAGATACCAATATCTTCTGTTTGCAGCTGAACCATATGAGATAATTGCATTCAAGGTATTTGAGTCATGCTATTTGTAAAAGCTGTTGATCAATGGCTTAGCTCACAGTTCCTAAAGATCTTTACATGTATGCATTTTAGGTTCCAAGCACAGAGATTGACAAATCCACACCAAAATTCTTCTCTCACTGGGATCCAGACTCGAAAATGTTCACGGTTAGGTTCTTTCAATTTGTTAGAATACTTTTTCTATTCATTCACACCCTTAGCCCACTACTTACAGTTCAGCTGTATCTTAGGATTTGATCTATAACTTTTCAATGAATGAATACCTTTTCTTCTGGAACCTACTTAGTTATTGTACCAGTCTATTGTAGCTTGTATTCGCTGTAACTCTTGCTGGTCGTTTGAATTATTGATTGAATAGATTGCATCTTGATTCCCCTTTGCATTATTTTGGCTTTGGGCCCCTTTGTGCATGCAGATGTTTGACTAGCTTATTTAGTTGCCGTCTCTTCATATGGTTGATCTTTTGTCTTTTCATATTAAAAAATTGACACTCTTTCCATAATATATGTATTCTTGTGTTTAAGGACTCATACTTCACCTTGCAACCAACAGCCTAAATGGCTTCTAGCTTTCCAGCTGCATGTAGGGCATTGTTATTAATGGCACGGTTTACTGTTCTATTTAGTTTTTGGTGTCCAACTTCTCTAACATGGTTTTAGCAAACGTGAAAATATGCAGTTGCAGTTGTATTTCAAATCCAAACCACAAGAGGCAAACAAGCCACAAACTGTGCCTGCAGCCAATGGAACGGTGCCACTGCCGCCACCACCACAAGCTCCACCACCGCCCCCACCTCCACCACAGCAAGGGGCACCACCAAGAGTTCCTCCTCCTCCGATGCCTGGATCCTTGCCGCCTCCCCCTCCTGTAATGGCAAATGGTCCTCCTAGGCCAATGCCTCCTGGTGGAGCTCCGCCCATCCCTCCACCGCCTCCAGTTGGTAATAACACAATGGCGAATTTCACTCCTGGTACTCAGATGAATAGACTTCCCATGCCACCTCCCCCACAGGGATTCCCAGGCCAGGGTGTCCGTCAGCCACCTCCACCGCCACCCAATATGGGATAGGCCACAGAATATTAGTTAAGTAGAATGGTTTGAGAAGACAATTTGGTACTGGACGTTCGGTGGACTTTAATCGTTGGCCTCACTAGTGAAAGTTTGAAGCACTTTTCCGTTGTATCGTCATATTTTGGCATGTAGAATCTTAACATGCCTTGATTGTTGTATCCTTTCAGGCAAAGTAAAAGAATTTTGTTAATTCTATGTCCAAAAAAAAAAATTGTTAATGATCTTTATTTTCAAGGTGAAGAAATGTTTTGCGTTTGCTCTTTTTAAAGAAAAAGCTTGTATTTCAGCCAAAATGTTTAAGCAACGTTATTTTTGAAAGATACAACTTTAAAGTATTTAATGGGCCATTAAATTTTATAAATGCAGGTTTTTAAACATATGTTTGGAAATTTAATGATTCTCACCAACTATCAAGCACGCATAATCCACTGAACAGTACAACATGTATAGTTTTCGATAAGAATATTCAAAACACTGATTTAGTAAATTTGAAGGGAAATTTCCCTCCCTTATTTCGTTTTCAGTCGGGTCTTTCTCCAGAAACAGAAGAATAAGGGGAGAGACAAGGTCGTAAAGATCAACATGAATGCAGTATAAATTTGAACTCTGAAACAGAGAAACTACAAGAGTTGATGTTAGAACGTGGAAAACAGTAATTAAATAATGTACAAGCATTTGCACGACCTGACCATTGCCACCACCCTCCACAAATTCCAACCTGAAGGCTCTCCGATCTTCAATCTCTGTATAAAATGCATCTGTTGCAGCAGGAAATCTTCCCGGGGGGAGGGAATTGAATTGAAAGGATATGCATATACATGCCACATTTTTCAGCCTGCGCGAGCATTTTGAGGGAACACTCTCTGGATAATGAACTGAAGAAAACGTTGGGAATAGAATGTAGGATCAACTGAAGAGATGGATATTGAATCAAATTGAAGAGATTTGTATGCATGTTCGATCTTCTTGCTCATGTTGTACTCTTGTAGAATATCAATAATACCCAGATATAGAACCACGTCGTAGGCCTCGTGAAACATCTGCTTTTCTTCTTTTCCTGGAATTTGCTCTGCTCTTGCTGGCATGTTCACGCCAAGTTGGATTTGGAGTCTGCATAACAGAGTGAGAAGAGTATCGAGTAAAGGTTAATAAACTAGAACCTTCTTAGAACTATAATTTTACAACAGGCTCCAAACACTAAAACGTGCTTGAAGATATATCTCTCTGTCGTCAAGCAAAAATGATGACCAGACATTGAATTTTTTGAGAGAATCAAAAGAAGTGGGCTGTCTTGGTCTTCCGATGTATCCATAATATTAATAGTTAGGGGAATGAGAATTTTGTGAGGATGAGAAGTAATACCTTGCAGTACCAGGCAACAGAAGATCCACTTCCCCATCCCCAGCAGCAGATGATGCTCGTAAACGGCTGCCTCTTATGTGGGAGCCGACAACAACACTATCATCGTCTATGCGAGGTACTAAAACAAGACCTTGTGGGTAGGTTGATATGTCCTCGAAAGGATCTGCCATTTAAAATTAGCAGCTAATTTTGTTAAGTACTTCAAATCAAATCAATCAAAAGACCAACCAACTGGGCCACTGGCTATACACAAAATTATACTCAAATATAATAATGAAAGGTTTATGAAGTTCAAGTATGACACCGCACAAAATGCATGACAGGAATGCTAGATAACCAAAAGTATCGAGGTAGGTAGATTCTTCCGATCTTAAGCTCATTACCAAGAGAGATACAGAAAATGATCTTAGGCGGGATAATCGGCAAGTTACTGTAATTGAATTGACATACGTGTCTTCCGTCAATATCAAACTCATGTTCAAGTTGAGTCATGGTATATCAAAAGCCACAACTAGTGGAGATAAGAGTAGTATAATAAGAATTCCTTTAATATTCATAATTTCATATGAAAATGAAAAATATTTGTCAAACTTTGAAAACTATCTCAGTCCCTCAAATTTGATTACCAAGCATTATACTAGCAAACAGAATAATAAAATTCTAAAATTTGGAGCTTCACATTCATAACCACTTGATTTTGAATCTCAGAATATCAACTGCTGGCATCACTTTAAAATAAGGAATCTTCAGTTTGTGATTTCTTCAACCCGTGTAATTTTTAACTATATAAGCCATTTAGCCTATTCTGTTATGAATTATATCCTTGTTTACAATTCGACGCCTGATCGATTATAGACGATAACTAGAACTATTAAAAGATAAATATGTTCTCATTAGATACTAACCCTCCTCCGCAAGAATTCCCAATCCATCAGCCCTCATGCTCCGGTTGTAGGATAAATGAGATTGCGGCTGCTGTGGGGCACGATAATGCACACCCAACAAAAGGCTATAGTCCATGATATTCTGCACTTCTAGGAATTTACTGTCAATCTCAATCTGCCTGTATTGAAGAGAACATGAGATGTAAGAATAGGACGTGTTTATATGTCCTTCAATGTTGAAAAATGCTCGTTCAGCAATAGTTGTGCAGAGGCTATCATTAATTCAATACAGGTACTGCGGTGTGTCAACTAACATGCTTGCAAGAAAAAATAATTCTATGACATACTAATGTTTAGTCTGTATGTTTGCTTAGATGAGGATAGCCTTAGAAGAAATAGAGAATAATTCAAGTACGACTTACTTTAATAAAGCCTCTCGCCAAGTAGGTTCCAAATAAAAGGAGTAGTTCAAATCTAAATCCTTGAGTATAGTGTTTTCATCTATTTCAACTTTGTCTGCTGAACGTCCAAGGGAAGAACCCTTCAAATCAAATCTCCGATGAATTCTTAACTCTGTGCAGAACATATTTCCCATTACTACAAAGCGAAACTGCACAAAAATAAAATATTAGCTGATGAACATTAGTTGTTTGAAGTTGTTATTTAGTGATTTGAATTACAAAGCAAGTTTGAAGAACAACATTAAAAATCACATGGAAACTATAAGGTCAGAAATCACATACGATATACCAATATTATAATTTTCTAACAATAGTTTAGAGCCTGTTAACATCTAAAATGCATCATATGTGGAAGAACCGAAGAAAGCCAAGACCAAGACAAAAGCTCCAAGTTTTGGTGCTTAATACCTTCTGACCGCTGGCTGGTTTGATTCTATGAAGACCAAAAAATTTTGTTATAAGTGTATTCTCATATGACCTCACATGATGATGATAATCTGGAAGCATCCGTAGAAGAACCTATAGCAGAACATGCATAGGTGCGTTATTTGCATATAGGAGAATAAAAACACAAGGAAAATTCATCCACTGCAGTGTAATCTGGCAAACTTTTTTTAAAAAGCTAGAGCACTATGAGGATTATCCAGCATAATAGTTTCTTTTTCTCCCTTTTCTAAAAGCACGTGATGAGGTTGTGGTAGTTTCTTGACGTTGCTTAGAGAAATTTACAATTTCGATGAAAACTTAATCGTTGCATGTAGGGGTGTGTCACAATTTGAATGCTTAGACATTGCAAGTAGAGATGAACACACCTTAACTTCTGATTTTCGGAGTGTTTTAATCATGAAACGATCATCTTGGGACAGAAAGAAGACACTACCACTCTTCCCAGGTGAAGATAGCTCTCTAAGAGCATCATTTCCGCAGATGGACATCATGTAGTCAGCAGCATCAATCTTAAACATCTCCCTCAGGTTCCTATAATGAATTTTTATGAGGGCTAGAATCAAGAGGATGCAAATGAAGAATGCATTCAAGTATTATTTTGCACATCTCTTCCTTTCAGAACTGCAGTTTTTCTCTCTTGCAACCTTAGTAAATGGAAGTCATTGCACAGAGAACTAAGGGACTAATCAAGTACATTCCCCTATCCCAAAACTAGACAGAATTTAACAAAACTTTGATCTTCAACACAAAGAAAAAGAACTGCATTATAACAAGCATGTAAGAAAAATAAGTTGACAGAAAGAACTAAAAAGATGACCATCCTTTCTAAATTATTTGCATACAGTTGCTAACTAAAATATATTGGATACTCCCGCCCAGAAGAAAATAGATTTTTTTAAAAAAGTTAGTTTTGAAACATGGCAAACTAAACATTCTTGAAAAAAACTATCAAGAAAGAATCTTTCCTGAAAAAATACTGCATCCCACGACTTAGCATATGAATGGATCAATGAATGAGGATGTATAGAAAAAAAATTTGGGCTATGGCTCTGCATAAATAAATGAACCAATGTATGAATGAACAGTGTACATAAAATGTTGTAAAGACTAGTATATAACCTGAAGACCATTGGACAATAATCTTTCCATTTAAAATCTTCCGATTGATGAGGTGGAGTCAACTGGGAACCTTCTTTAGGGAAAGTCATCCAAAAGCTTGCTCGAGGACCAAAGTCTGAACTCCTGACTTCTCGCCTTTGCACGGGTGTAATTTTTCCCACAGTATATCTGACCACATTCTAATGTATGTTCAACATTAACTTCTCAAAATTGTTAAAGGGATAAAGACCAGAGAATGCCCATGTTTTAGCTATCATAGATAAAGAAAGATAATAACAAATCAACAATTAAGGCATTTTCATGGGCATGAATAATGCAGTAGGAACTAGAAAGCAAACAAGAACTTTGAGTTGATGAACGAAAAGTGCGATAGAAAGTACCATCCTTGATCCCATAAGTTTTGCCGGTTTTAGAATTTAAGCCCGTCCTTATTTAGTCCCTTTTCTTCATGAATATGTATTCCCTGGTAATATTATTTTTAAGACGGTGTGTCTAAATCTAAACGATACTTGTGATTACTACCTCCATACCGACGAAAGAGGTTAATATAATATAATTATCAAAATCCAGGCACAAGCAACAAACGCTAGATAATGAAATAAATGTTGGATACTTTTAAAAGAAACATAATGGGAATTTTTTTTTGTTAATGTAGCTAAATGAGCATACCTGATTCCGAGTTGTAAACTGAGCATCAAATCGTAACTCCTATGACCTTTAATGATCATCTCACCTGGTTTATTAACCTCTTTGACCAGCTTTTTCTGTCTTCGTCTTGCTCTTCTTGATGATGGTGAGGAAAAACTATTATCTATAACAAGTTCACTAATAAGTACACCTTGCATATACTCGCGTTCCAAAATTGGGATTTTTGTATCTACTACATTTCCACCCATTTCATAGTCTGAAAGTCCTGATGAAGAATCGTGCCCAAGTACTTTTTCAATTGATACCTCAAGACTCCAGCGCCTTTCAAGCGAAACATTTTTAGAGCGATACTGTTCCAGATTTAACAGACTACCCTTTGAGAGCTTATCAGATGTAACACGAGAGGATTGCTGGTTTTCACCAACCTTAAAATTCCCCATATCCCCTGATATAGCATGATGAATATGTGCATGATTCTGCTTTCGTGAATCAGGTAACAGCCCTTTTTTTCTCAAAGCCTTCAGGTAAATTTCTTGACCTGCTGGCAGGCGGCTTCCTTTTGGATAGAATGACCCTTTTCCATCCTTCAGACCCCTAGTCCACGTCCCCACATAGCAGCCTCCATCACTCCACATGTATACCCCAAACCCATGCATCATACCGCTCAACCAGTTTCCTTCAAATGAGTCACCATTTATCCAAGTAAGGGTTCCTTTCCCTGACATCGCCCCTGCTTTCATGTTCCCCAAATAAACATTTCCATTAACCCACGTATACTTCCCGGGCCCTTCGGGTGTTCCCCGCATCCAAGAGCCTTCAAAAATATCTCCATTCGGATAGACTTGATAACCTAAACCATGCTTCAAATTTAGTTTCCATCGTCCTTTATAAGCCAAATTATCAGGACCGGTGTATGTTCCTGTACCATGCATATAACCACCTGAAAATTCACCTTCGTAAACTGCTCCAGAAGGAAATCGAATTTTTCCATTCCCATGCCTCATCCCCCTTCTCCACTCACCCTCATATATACATCCATCTGACCACACATATTTCCCCGTGCCCTCAGGGATGTTACCAAGAAGAGACCCAGAATACAATTCCCCATTGACAAGCAATAGCTCCCCAACTCTGAAGCGAGCGGACTCAGAGGTATGAACAGTTTCACCATTTATTATTGCAGACGTGAACTCCTTACTAGTAATGGCATCAAGAGATTTTGTTCTCTCGGCAGAAGAAAGACCCCCTTCCACGATATCAACAATGGCCACAGGGCCAGACATGCATAATGCCCAAGGGAGTCAATTTCGTACTAGAATATTAATTTCCAAAGCACCTCATCCGCTATAAGGCAGGATTTTGTAGAAAGAGTGCTTACCGCAGGAAGAAACTAGTGGCTCCAACTTTCGTTCTTTGATCTATTAATAGAACAAATAAGAGACTTTTTAGCATGAGTACAGAACAAAGTCTTCCCGAGAAAATAAGATAGGTTTAGGGAACATGATGAAATCCATTAATATTCCCTGTGAATAACCTCAAAATATGAACAGAAACAAAAACAAAGAAAAATCAACTTTATATATTCGCAAGTTTTCAGGAAAGATTTGAGAACAGTAAGATTCATAGGTGGTAAGAAAGCAAAGAACCAAAAGAAAAAAAAAAAAAGCTGGAATGACAGAAAGACACAACGTGAACAGTGTACAGGGAAAAGTGGAAACCAAACGAGAACGCAATCAACTCGACAGCTGTGCGTTAATTGAACTCTCGCTAACCTACTAAGAAAATGGAATCGGCCACCCTCTTCAAAGCTAGTATTTGATAAACAAATGTTGCGAACACATACAATACAATCAAGCTCGTTCTCTTTTCATAGCTCTGAAGCCAGACTAGAGGGGAAGCAAAATCAAGTGACAAACGAAAACCAATTCCACCTTATCGTCAGAATCCGTGACATGCGTTCAAAACCATGAGCACAAGGCTGCATCTAAATAAGAAGATTGATTCTCAGAAAACAAACAAACAAACAACGCAAGTAAATTAATAAATAAACTCATAACTTCACCATTACACAGTTGACTTTCCAAACATCAATGATTCAAAGGAAGTAGCAAAAAAAGGAAAAAAAAAAAAAAAAAAAAAAAAAAAAAAAAAAAAA